GGAAGGAGAATAGTATATGCATCTCAAAATATGGATTATGCTTCAAGATAAAGCTCCGAATTTCTAGGATTTCAAGAAATACAGTGTATGATGGGACATAAATACTGACAGAAGTTTTAAGAGGTTGAGGATGTGGATGGAATCACAACTGATCCAGCTGAGGAACAACCATTTCTACTGCCTCCAGAACTTAAGAAAAGAAATACTATCCCTCATCTGTTTAAGAGTAGAGAGTAGTCATTTCTTCCAGGGCTGGCTGGTTATTAACATGTACATTAGAGATAAATACAACTGAAACACTGATTACCTTAAATTGGATAAGATTCAAATAATGAGGGAAACCTGTGCACCCCACTTTGAACTTTACAATTTTTGGATGCCTCAAAATGGGCTGATTACTCCTTTTACATACAATCATCTGGCTTCCCACAGAAGAAATGGCTCAACCTACCCTCAAGAAGAGATACAGGAGGCTGGGGATTTGTGGGCCTACCATATCTGCATATCCTGCTGGAAGCTCATATCTAAGGGATGGAATTGGAGGGTAGACATATCAAGAAAAACAGAATTACCAAACTTTGCAGGAATTTAGCTTCTTGACATCCTGCTTTCCGTAAACTTCTCTCTCAAACCCTCTGAGGATGGATTCTCAGAAGGATCAAAAACAGAATTTCAAGGAAGCCAAACTACCAGGCAACCTAGAGTTCTGGTTAACCAGGGTTCAGAGGATAGACATTTGACTGTATTTGAAAAGCGTAGGTACCTACATAACCACATCAAGAATGTGAATGATTAACCAGTTATCCTCATCCTTAACAGGTGAGGCTTACTAGTTTCAGTTAACTGGTAGGGGGTTGGTTCTTGATCTTTTCCATTATATTACCATGTTACAACAAAACAAAAACAAAAAAATCAAGGGTGGAACGCAAAACAAAAAACAAAACAAAAAAAAAATCAAGGGTGGAACAATCTACACTCTAGATCAAAAAGCCACACATTAAAAGGATGATTAAAGTTTTATCAGGTTTAAAAAAATGTATATAGTCCAGCTTGAGCACAGCTGGACAATACTTAACCTGCTAAGAAAAATATGCAAGTAGGATGGATACAGATAACCTTTTCAGGCCAGAGACTAACTTATGCATTTCTTCAATGTCTAGAACACTGTGATGGTACTAGAAACAAATGTAAAGACATACAGAAATATACAGTAATAATTCCCCATTTTGAAATATACGTTAAGCAAATACTATGTTTGTATCAATGACGACAAATTCCTTTACTAGAAAGTCTCATATGAAAACATTTTTAAAGTTACAAACCTTTTCTTGCAGAGTTACACTTCAAGCCATCAGATCTGGTGAAATCTATGCTTACATAAGCTCCACTGTCCAAATTCGAAGTACCATTTTGGAGATGGCAAGTTGATGTAGTAGTGCTTGCCTCACAGTTCACAGAATCATCATGTAAATTCAAAGCTATGTAGTTTAAGCCATTCTGAAATCCAGTTGAAGTATCCCTGGACATCTTGCTTTCGTGACCATCAGAAATGTTTTCATCAGGTTTTAACCAAACATTGTCAAATGAGGCAGAGCTGTGTCTTTTGCTACTATCAGTAAAAAAAGAAGAGGAAGTAGTCACAGCCCCAGTAGAAGAGAACGTTTCAGAACTATGCCTCCTCCTTCCTTGTGGGTCAGCTCGAATCACCTTAGGTCCCAAGGGAGGATCAGAGCTAGGAACAGAGAAGCTACTGCTACCAGAATATCTGTCAACAATGCATAGTCTATTTACAATGGAAGAAGGACTATCAATCTTCATACCATTACTGGATTCTGCAGTAAAAGGCCTAGGTGGTGTCGTTGCCATGTTGAAAGTCATTTCTGTGTAATCATCAGTCCTACTGTTTGTACTGTTAACACAAGCAGTATCAAATGAAAGTCTAGCATAGTCATTTGGCTGGTCTCTAGGAATACTTGAACTTGCATAAACTGAAATATCTGTTAAAGAATTTGATAGTTCCTTTGCTACTTTTGGTGACTGCACATCAAGGTCAACACTCATATAATCAGAAAGTGGTGACTGTCTGTGGTCACTACTGGATCCTAGAGATGATGGAGATCCTTCTGCAGATAAAGAATACGGGGTATTACTTACTTTTTCACTGAAATCAACATTTATGTATTCACCAGGGCTAGCTGGCTCAGGTGGAACTGTTCGATCATACATTCTCGGTATAGTATTACTTCCTCTTGTACCTAAGGGAAGTCTTGTAGGCCTGGCAGCCCTGTTCTGTGCAAGTCCTTCTTCTGACACTTTCACAACTGATGACTTAGAAATGCCATTAGCTAATGGCTCACTGTTCACACATTTGACATTTTCATGTTCACCATATAACAGTTTTCCAGGTGAGGACATTGGAACATATTCGTTATGATCTCTGTTTTGACCGGATAACGTCTTAAAGCTTCGCGGCAGAGAGAAATATGAACTGAAACCTTTGGAAACAGAGTTGCTATGAATACAGTTTGAATCACTGGGCTGTTTTGGAACTGCTGAATTACCAGGGGACATATCCATATATTCATTTGTCATCTTTTCATTACCCCCTTTCGAAATAAATCCAGCTAATGGACTACGTACAGGTGAAGAACTAGCACGAGGAAACATCATCATATATCCTCTGGAGTCCACCTGAGATGACGACCAAGAATTACTAATCTGTTTGGGGACAGACACACTTTTAGGAGTCATTGGCAAATAATCACTGTTGCTTGTGAGTGACGATGCAACTCCTGGCATCATTGGCATGTATCCATCATCCCTGGCTTTACCTCTGCTTTGGCTACATACAGAATTAAGGGTAGTATCACTATAGTCAGTTTCATGGTTCTCTTTTAATTTTGGTGAGTCAGAACAAAGTAACTGTCTGTGTCGTCCCGTAGAATCTTCATCTAAAGAAGCCGTGGTTTGTGTTGTTTTCTGTTGCACTGTTACAGAAGTTGGTTTAGTCAGAGAATAAGTTCTCTTTCTGAAGCACTTTTCAGCTTCCATATAATCATCCCTTGAGCTATCATCTGTTGGCTGTTTATTCATGGACATGTATTCACTTAAACAATTCTCTTCTCTGATAGGTGGTGTGTTTCCCAAGGAATCTGGAGTATTGCTTCTGACACGAAAGTACCTGAAATCCCCAGGGCTAGAACCATATTCATCAGATGAGATAAAGCCCCCATCACTTGGGGACCCACAGACAGATGAACTGGAAGGCCTGGTTAATGTGTCTGAGGCAGATCCATGGCCACTACTGGAAGAAACACTAATGGGGCTGGTAGTAGAGGGGAAATGAGACACTGGGAGAGAAGCAGACCTGGTATGATAAGAAGAGGTGAAAGCTGCTCTGACATACCTTCCACTCCCTTCTTGCCGCCCCAAATTCATCCTTGCAGTGTTCAGATGGATTAGACTCCCAGTCACTGATCTGAAAGGTCTGGTCATTGTACCTTCCCCTTCACTAGATGTTCTGAAGCGATATGAATTGCTACTCTTGGCAGTGGGCGGAGTCCCTCCAGTAACACACTCAGTCCTGGATCTTCTCTGCAAGCCAGTCTGGCTAGGAGGAAGGTTGCCCAGATGCCTCCTAGTAGTGATGAAGGAGATAGGATTAGTACCACTGCCACCACCAGACGACTGGCTCTTGCTGCGGGGTCTGAATTCTGTAAAGGCCTTGAGAGCTTTCATGGTCTCTAGAAAGGTCTCATGCATGTTCTGGGCAACTACTGAATCATCCACTTGCATCCACAGTTCACCAGGTCCAATGGAAGCAGATCTGCCCACCTCAATAAAAAAGAAGTTCTCTGAGTGCCCACAGCGGCGGATGTTCATTAGTTGCAAGTGGACAGCAGGTACCTCTGAATTCAGTTTGACCAGGTAGATGGCTTTGCTAGATAGGCACAACCTGTACACTCCAGTGAGGTTCTTGGTCTGTCCCAGTCCCTTGGGCTTCACATTAACCTGCCACACCTCCTTGTATACAGTGCCTGGCCTAAGTGCAGTTCCATAATGCTCATCATCCTCATCCATCTGTTGATCTGTCTGATCCTCCTGTTCCAAGAACCCCTTCTTGCTCTGGTTCATGAGCTCACTGATTGCCTGATACCAAGCCTCCTGCTCCACCTCATTCTCAGCCAACATGGCAAAGTACTCATCCTTGGTATAAAGGGCAATGATGAACTTATGCTTGGCATCTGCCCTCCGGCTGACTGTGAAGCACTGGTACAAGGGGATCACTCGCTTGGGAGGGGGGCAGCAAAGGACAGCAGACCCACTAGCAGCTGCAGCTGCCCTCAGGCTGCTCTTGAATTTCTTCTCACTATCATAATATTCAAGCCTCGCTGGGGCGAGGTGGCTCTCAGCTCGCAGCACGAAGTAGCGCTTGTGGCCATGCTTTTGCTTCTTCAGGTAGCCACATTTCCTCACGTCATCCCCAACAGGAGCCACAGAAGAAGCTGCTGGCAGAGGCGCCCCTCGTGCTGTGGGGGCTGGCTGGCTACCTCGCCCGGTAGGGGCCCCTCGTCCTGTCGGGGCCGTAGCAGCGGGCACCTCCTCCTCCTGCCCCAGACACAGGGAGGCGCTGGGCGATCTTTTCAGAAGCAGCAGCAGGTGGTGCGGCTGAGGGGCCGGGTAGGGGCCGCTCTCGCCCAGCTCCTGCTGCTCCTCAGCCGTAGTAGCAGTCCTAGGCACCCCGGCCTCCTGGCAGAGAACGAGCTCCCCTCCAGCGCTCCGAGTGCCCAGCTCCAACTCGGCGCCCCCGGCCGCGGTACTTCCACCTCCTCCGCCCGGCCCATTCATCCCACTCGCCATCTTAGGGGCCAGGCAAGGTCCAGAGAGCTGGGGTGGGGGGAATCCGCCCTCACAGGGGAAGCGCCCTCCAAGGCCGGCTGGACATGAGGCGCCGGAAAGCTCCGCTCACGAGCTCGCCAGTGGCTGGGCGCGCCCGCGCCGCGCTCGGCTACTCTCACTCACACAAGCTGCCTCAGCGGCACCACGGCGAAAACATCACGTGACGCTGCAAGGGAGGGGAGGAGGGCGACTACAGGGAACGGGGCGCGGCTTCAACCAGCCGTGGGCGGGGTCGTCCGCGTTTCTGTGTGTAGAACTGAGGGTGAGAATGGGGAACCGAACGGCCTCCCCTGGAGTGAAAGGGGAATAGGCCAATCAGAGACGAACAGCTTCTACGTGGCCCAATCAGGACTCGAGAAGGGTATTTTTGGTCTGTGCGCAATCAGAGAGAGGCGAGGCTCGGGTGGATCGGCAGCGCTTTGAACCAATCAAAATCGGCAACAGCTTCTGTCCGTCGGGAAGGTAGGAGTCTTCTGACAGAGAAGAGAGGGTGAAAATTAGGCGGTGCTTATGGCGACTGGCAGATGGATGGGCGTATTGTCCAATCAGCGTTTCACACACAAAGATACGGGAGGCGGAGGCGGGATCTGGCATGTATGTGAAGGAGCGAGTACAACGGAAGGCGGGGGATGTAGCGTAATTAGCAGCTGGATTTGCCAGTCAGCGCCTGAGCCTCTTACTGCCCCGTCCAATCAGCACCTCCGACTGAGGTACCTTATTTCAACTTTTTTTTTTT